TATCTGATGGGTGAAATATGGCCATCAGATACCGTTCCCTCATATTAAAACAGAGGGAACAGTATCTGATGGGAGATTTATGGCCATCAGATACAATTCTCCCACATTAAAACAGGGGGAACAGTATCTGATGGGTGAAATATGGCCATCAGATACCGTTCCCCCACATTAAAACAGGGGGAACAGTATGTGATGGGAGATTTATGGCCATCAGATACCGTTCCCCCATTTTAAAACAGGGGAAACGATATTTGATGGGTGAAATATATGGGCATCACATACCGTCCCCCCCTTTACCACAGGGGGAATGGTGTCTGATGGGTAATATTGAGCATTAAAATGCATTGCCCTGTTTTGAATTCATATAGCACTATCTATCTATCTACCTATCTATCTATCTATTATAATTATAACATATATTATTCATTATAATTATAAAATATATATAATATATATTTATTACAATTATTAGTATTATTATTAATTTCACGCAAAAACGTGAAGAAAGTGTGACAGCTTTGCTGAAGCATGATATTTGAGCTTTCACGGTGTCCATAGTTCCTCAGATAAGCACGCCGAACAAGCGTGTGCTTGCTAAGCGCGTGCTTTCTCAGTGCTCATCACGAGCACGCGCGTATTTTGCCGCGTGGGTGGGGCGGAGAGGCAAGAAGACGAAGGGGGAACCATATCTGATGGGGAAACGCGGATTGACGTAACACCTGTTGGCAATTACGTCCTGACCTGCGGCTTAAGAGAAGCGGTTTGCCAACTCTTCGACGCCAGATTGTTGACTAGTGATGGTACTCTCTTGGCCCCGTGCTCTCGTTGATTGCTGTGTCTTCCTTGCTTTGATCTCCGAGTAATCTGACTTTCCGATCTCTGTTCTTTTAGGACTTACCCGAGCATCCAGATCTGGACCTTCGCTCCCCGTTCCCCCCTCGTGACTTTGGCGGAGATTACCCGCCAGATGCCCGAGTCTCCACTGCAACCTTACAGTTCAATCCTTCTCCAAACCTCACTCAAATTGGCAAACCGTCCGCTCAGTTGCTCTCCAAGCCCTGAACGACCTGTCCGTTCCCCAACGCCGCCACACCAGCTCAAATCCTTGCTTCCGTCAAGGACTCGACGTTTCGTGGTAAACGCCTCCATAACCAAAGAAACGGAAACCCAGAACCTCTGACTCCCTCCAAAGGTTTCACACATACTACTTACACCCGTAAAGTTCCTCCTTTCCTCTCTGATAACAACGCTAATTTCCTACAACCTCAAACTCATCCCCTCTGTGTTTTTTCTTAGTGTACTGTCGGTGCTGCTGCCCGCCGCTCGAACCAGTTTCCCTCCTGCTCATAATAAACCTGTTAAACTTTATTTGTTCTCCTGTCTGTGTTCTTGCATGTGGGTTAATCGAATTACACCCGATATGACAAGAAGAGCATTAATAGGTGTCGTTTTCACCACTCCTGTGAAAACGACACCACTCCCGTACATATACATAAAGCCCTACTCTGTAGTCTATCTTTTGTAGTGTTGTTTTAGCTGCTGCTCCATATATAAAACTGCTATAATCAATTATTGATCTCATAAGAGCCCTATATATGTTTAATGACTGTCTATCTGCACCCCAGTTATTTCCAGCCACAGCCTTTAGTAGATTTATAACTTTCTTAGATTTAGTTTCTAAGTTATCTATGTGTTTTCCATGTGTAAGAGCTATCTAACCATAATCCTAGATATTTAAATTCTTTAACCCTTTCCAAAGGCTGTTCATATAATATTATTGTTCCTGTATCAATATTTCTTGTCACGATCCGTGTTTTTGTGTTTATTTTTGAGTTTTCTGTGTTCAGTCCTGTTTCCCTGAGTCTCTGTCCTG